TAAATTATGTATTCAAATCGATGTGTCCATTGAAACATATAATTTTTCGAATACGAAATAAAGCGAAAAAGAATGATCATATCCTTTTAAACTCGGAAAAAAATAACTGTTATTTTCGGTCCCTGGAATATTGTGCAAGCACAGACGTATATATAACCAGTCACAGAAGAAAGCATTAAAAATGAGTTACAAAAACTAAAATCGAAAAACGCTGATGACGTGACAAATTCCGAAACAGCAAAAAGAATGAGGATGAAGAACTCTTTCGAAAAAAACGGTGTTTAAACAACGATTGTGCCATGATGCTAGATTGTGAAGATGAAAGTCAAAAGGATACATCCGACATTTGCAGCCCCGATTAAATTCCCAAAAGGTAATTATTCCTCCGCAATAAAAATAAATAAATATAACTGAAAGTCCTCTCAACTAGTGCACACACTGTTCCTGAATTAGTTAAAAGTTCACTAAAACGTACGACAAAAATTGAAAATGCAACTTTGTTCGTTATCAACTACGTAACCAAAATCCATTTTTACTAAAATAGTATCAGCCTTTTTCTGCGAAATATTGACATTCAAGAATTGCAAAATTATAAAAATTTCAGAACAAACTTTTGTTCTCATATTTTTTGTTTTTTAATTCGTTGGACATAATTAAGATAACAGTTATACATAAGTAACTACCTGAACAGCCCTTGGCTCGTTAACACATAATTCTTTTGCAGAAAAATCGTTAATAATGTATTTCTTGTTTTGATTTATTTTTAATAAATATTGTTAGCGTTTAAATACATTCTGATTTAATGAGTAATTGTGTAATACAGTCCGGGATTGAAAGTGTGTAGCCAAGTTGAGTTTTATTTACAAATATACAATACACCATGCCGTATTACCTTAGTCATGAAGAAAACTGAAAAAAGTATCTGCACCATGTGGAAGAAAAATACTGTTGGGAAAAAAGTCGAATTTGTTCAACTGACTGAAAAATGCGTTGATCTCAGGTGCGCATCCAGGAATATATTTTGGGAGGGGTTTATACTTCTATACATATATCACTAGAAAATACTGTAAATTCGCTTCAGATAATATGCTCTTAAAATACATTTATGCAAGTTTTATGTACAGTATGTAATAAAAAAATACAATTTTTAAATTTCATAAATTGCACTTTATTTACTTAAAATTAACAAAGAACTCAAACATTTTCAAACGACTTCAAAAAGGGGGAGGTTTTCAGTACGTAGGAAGGGCTTTTCAGATAGTTACTTATAACTGTTATCTTAATTATATCCAACGAATTAAAAAAAAATATGACAACAAAAGTTTGTTCTGAAATTTTTATAATTTTGCAATTCTTGAATGTCAATAGTCCGCAAAAAAAAGATGATACGATTTTAGTGAAAATGGACTTCGCTTACGTAGGTGATAACGAACAAAGTTGCATTTTCAATTTTTGTCGTACGTTTTAGTGAACTTTTAACTAATTCAAAACAGTGTGTGCAGTGTCAATCGAAAAGAATTGACAATTTTGCCAAGTTTCAAGTTTTTCAAGTTTGTCGCCACGAGCGAGCAGTTATATAGTGGCGCAGGTTTGATTTACGACCCTTCAAAAAGTTTTTGTTAAGTACAATGTTCCAATTTTTAAATTCAAGTACTAAAAAAACATTCAGTCTTACCATGAGTTTAATTTTCCCCGAACCGGTTCACTTTTCACTTTTGGTTTTCATGTACATATTTACTATGGGCGGAATACAAATTTTCGGGTGATTTTTTTTTCGGGCAAATCTCAGGATAGGGCAGATTATTAAAAATTATTAACCTTTCCATTTTTTATTTACCTAAATCACCTAATTTGCCCACCTAAATTATTTGTTAAAAATACATGACATCCGCATTCGCATCCGCAT